GTGGGGATGACAACAGGTGCAACTTGTTAAGTGAGGAATCATTTTCATCAAGAAGAAATAAATGTCAAGAACCAGAAATAGGAAGAAAAGGATCACGACAAGCAATATATTGTAGCATATAGTACACTGAACTGAACCAGAGGAAAATTGATTTTCAAACCTGACTTTTCAAGTGTATTCTTCTAAGCCTTTGTTTTCACATATAAAATGAGGCAGATAAAGACTCTTTCCTTGCATACAGCTGACCCCAAACCCATACTCACCAAGATTCCCCTAGCATCGCCTGAAGTGATCCCTGAGCACAGAGCCAGGTGTAAAGCCTGAGCACAGACATCTGTGGCCACATAACAGAAAACAACAAAAAATGAAGCAGATGAACTCAGCTCTAACAGTAAGATGTTTACCATGAGCCTGATCATTTATAAATAAGTCACATTTGGGGCACGCCACACCCTGTAGTGTTAAGGGCTTACTCCTGGCTTTGTGTTCAAGGATCATTCCTCTCAGATCACATCCCATAACTATATGAAATGCCAAGGATCAAGCCCAGATTGGCTGCATGCAAAGCAAATACCATGCCTGCTGTAGTATAACCCTGGACTCAAGGTCACTGCATGTTTTTTCAAAATGCAGGTTCTGGTTAAGTAGCACTGTAGCACTGTCCTCCCATTTTTCCATCAATTTGCTCAAGCAGGTACCAGTAACATCTCACAACAAATTGTGAGACTTGTTGTTAATGTTTTAGGCATATCGAATACGTCATGGGTAGCTTGCCAGGCTTTGCCTTGTGGGCGAGATACTCTCGGTAGCTTGCTGGGCTCTCTGAGAGGGGCAGAGGAATCTAACCTGGGTCGGCCGCATGCAAGGCAAACGCCCTACTCACTATGCTACCGCTCCAGCCCTGGTTAAGTAATCCTTTGTGAATTGCTTTGTTTAGTGATGGCATAACTCTTTTAGCTGATGCAACTATAAGAAAGATTTATCAACCTGTTATAAACTTAGAGCCTTAAATTTTCACCCACTTTGGGGACCCATCAGTTGACCCAAGGAAGAAAACTCCTTGTGGTTTTATTTGTGTAGAAGACCTGGTCATTTAGGTGACAGTTCTTGGAGACCACTTCCAGTCCCCTAGGAAGTACTTTGAAGAGAGGAAGGTGATATTTTTCTTTAAACCAGAGAAGTTTTGCTTTTGTTCTATTTTAGAGTTCCACATTAAGATTTTATTTGGTGCAAGGGATATCTGTAGTATTTAAAAGGTTTCACAACAAATTGTAGTAAGGGTCCACCTCACAGCTCCTGCCTGACCTTTTGCTTGCTGCTCCACCATCCCAGGTGAGGCTTGCCTCTGGCTGTTATCACTGGACTTATTCTGGAGTGGGAGGCATGTACCCTTCCCAAAAGGTGGGTCCCAGAAACCTCCATGCCCAACCTGCACCATATGAAGGGCCCACACCACAGCTCTTGAAGCTCATGGCTGCTTATGTGACCACACAATAGATCTACTCAACAAATTACATGCTTCTCAGAATTGTTCTTCCTATCATTCTGTGAGAACAGGCAGAGAAGATGAGAGCAATCTCCAGCTTAATCCTTCAGTATCTTCCAGGGTAGCAAACTACAAAGACTCACACACAGCACAACAAGAACACTAGAAAATCAACGAGGAAAATACGCCAAAGTCCACAAAGCTCAATGAACAAAGGCAATATCACCAAAGACATAAACAACACCAGTAAATCCTCAGACAGTGTCCAATGATACTATGATGGGGATGTTCAATGAGTATTAAGGACATCTTTTAGATCATCAGTCTCATAATTCTTTAAGCAATCTTGCTCTTCTTTGCATATTGTGGAGTTTTCTCCTCTAGTGTAATACTACATGTAGTATATTCAAGCACGTGAGACTGTCACTCCTTTTGGGAGCTATAGAGTTTGAAAATTCCTAAGAATCGTACTCAGAAATGATATCAGTGGCTACCAGATTCTGGTATGGACCCTCTGTTTTAAAGGAACTGTGCCTCTTTCTTTCTTTTTTTTTTTTTTAGAAAAACACTGAATGGCATTTTGAGGGTCAGTGAAATGAAATCTGAAGGGAGTTTCAAGGCTGCTCACAAGATTTCTCCTGTGGGGTATTAACCACTGCACATCTATTCCTTCAGGGAGACCTTCCTTTGACCCTTTTGGCTCTGAATTTGAATGAGTGCCTTGACTCAATAGTTTGTCCTTACTATTTTGAACTAGTTGGCGACTACTTCTGTTTGTTAATAAGTGGAGAAGGAGAGGAAATGAGAAGGCGACATAAAGTTTTTGTGAAGGATAATTTTGCTATCCTCAGTTCTCATTTGTGACCTGATCTATATAAAGTCAAATGCAATATTGAAAGATCTATGTAAAACAATGAAAAATGGAGAATTTAATTTTAATTTTTAAAATTATTATTATTATTATTATTTTGCTTTTTGGTCACACCCAGCGATGCTCAGGTGTTAATCCTGCCTCTGCACTCAGGAATTACTCCTGGTGGTGCTCAGGGGACTATATGGGATGCTGGGAATCAAACCCAGGTTGGCTGCATGCAAGGCAAATGCCCTACCCACTGTGGTATCACTCCAGCCCTGGAAATTTAATTTTCAGGCTACGATTTCTTCAGCTGCTGCTGTCTGGTACACACCTTTTTTGACTGTGAAGTCAGCTTCCTACCACGCATGTATTAAGGTTTAAAACAGATTGCAAGTCACTTTTTATTATTCTCTTTGATTTTCAGTCACTTGAAACTGCTAAGGTAGATTCTTAGGTATTTAGAAAAGTTCATGTCTTAACAAAACTTCCTAGATTTAGAATCTAAGAGAAAAGGCTATGTCTCTAAAGATCTTAACATTTTATTTCAAGGTGTAGAAATTCAGTGAGAAATGATCAACAGGATGCATAAAAGCCTGGAAATATACACACTAGAAACAAAAGGAATTTTAGAGTAAACACAAAGTACAATTCTCAATCTGGCATAGAATTTGCCAGGGACATTAATAACATTTAACACTCCCGCTTTCCTTTTTTAGCTCGGTGAGAGTACCTGCAGAGTAAATGCCTTCCTGAGGACATTAGTCATTTGCTCACAGGCATATATAAACTTTGCTTATAAAATATAGATATAGAGTATAAAATAATGTTATTTTGTGTTAACCTATTTATGGCAGTGTTATAGAATCTGCTTAAGTACCAAGATTTTTCAGTTTTTAAGAGCTTTGTTAGAAATGGCCTTATCTTCCATTCTCTTTCAGTCATCCCCTTCCTGAGTCTCCTTTCTTAGGTTTTCCAGTGTGACCTCCCCTCTGACCAGATTAGGGCTAGCAAGGTTATAGTATTCTGAATCATCTCTAAGTTTGTAGCTGGTTCTGTTTATTTTTCAAAGGAAAGGGCTTGCTGATGAAAACTATCTTCTCTTTTAGCTCTAAAATTCACCGTTGACTTTTCTCCCTTTGTTTACTCTCCCCCCTTTCCTGTTATTTACCTCAGCTACCCAGTATGCAAAGTTGCCTAAAAATACTCGTAAAATAAATGCAGATATGAGGAAAATTAGTACGTGCAGTTACTAAGAAGAATCAGAGTTTAAAAGTTGCTATTTCAGTAGTTTCTCTCTTGTTGGCTTCTCTGATACCCCAATGAAATATGTTAGTCATATTTTATTTGGCTATTTGTTGTTGCAATGTTAAACAGTAATATATTTTAAGCCTTTAGGGTAAATATTTAAGTCTTGATATTATTGAGCATTGATAAAGGTGTGTGGAAATGTTTTCCTTCACATATTATTATAGCAGTGTAATTAGTACATCTCTTTTCTGAGGTTAGTTTGCCATTACCAATCAGTATTTTTAGAATGTGTGTTATTGAGTATTGACAAAGGTGTATGGAAATGTTTTCCTTCACATATTATTATAGAAGTGTAATTAGTGCATCTCTTTTCTGAAGTTAGTTTGCCATTACCAATCAGTATTTTTAGAATGTGTGTTATTGAGTATTGACAAAGGTGTATGGAAATGTTTTCCTTCACATATTATTATAGAAGTGTAATTTTTATAGTGTGTGTGTGTGTATATATATATATATATGTTTATATATATAAATCGATTCAGTGAATTCAAAAGTCTCTAAAGAAATTACTTGCTAATAATAAGGGTATTAAGAGGTATATCCAAGGATGTTCACTATAGTTTGTAATAAAAAATGGAAATGTTCTATTTTTATGTTAACAAGGGAAATATTCAGTGGCAGGGAGATGGCTCAGAGGACGGGATATGCTTTGCATGTTGGAGCCCAGATATGATCCCCAGCACCACATGGTTCACCAAGTACTGCCAGGGAAGCAATCCCTGAGAACTAATAGGCATGATCCAAGAACAAAAAAAGGAGAGATATTTAAAGATTATACTAGTCCACATATATTCATATCCATTCATACAAATAATAAAAATAATAAAAAATGAAGTTGATCTGTATGTACTCTCATATGTTAGGTAGAAAAATAAGACATAGGATTAAATATTCACTGTGATCTGTTTATATGAATTAACTTATTGTATATGCACTTTATATATAAAACTATTCATAAATGTCTAAAAGTAGTAATACCAAACTGTTAATTATTTTCCTCCTCAGAGAATAGTAATTACTATTATAGGATAGATACAGAAGGATAATTTCATTTTTTAATGATGTAAATTCATCTGTTAGTATTTTAAAAGTAACTTTGTTTTGCTGACTATAATCAAAAGGAAAAGCAAAAATGAAGATAAGAAATAACTTCCTAAGGAATAAAAGAAGCAAAATATTAAATTCAACAGTATCAGAGAAACATTTTTGAGGATTTTTGAAAAAATCAGGCTCAGATAGGAACTATCATTTGTTTGTATTTTGACCATATTTGCCTAGCACTTAAGTAACTTTTTTATTTACCCTTCTAGTTCTTTGTCTCTTCAACTCTTGTTTTTCTGCATTCCACAGGTGTCTCGAGACCAGATGAAGGTATTTATACAGCAGGAATTTAACAAAGTTCAGAAAATAGTTGCTACTGAGGAGCAGAGGACTCTTCATCTAGTGGACATACAGGAAGCAATGGCCACAGCTCATGTTACTGAGATCCTGGCTGACATTCAATCTCACATGAATAGGCTGATGACCCAGATGGCCAAAGTCAAGGAACAACAAAATACCTCTAATAAAGCAGCTGAGCCAAAGGCAGAGGTAAAAGAGAATGCCTACAATTATTGGTAGTAAGAAGAATAGGAAGGAACTGACAACTAACTCTGGAAATGCCCTATAAATGTAGTCCATAAGCATGAATAATTAAGAGCATAGACAAGTGTGTATTTAGCCTGGTGTGTAAACCTGTGTGGGAGTATTGGCTGGCTTCTGTACTCAGCAGCAGAATGGAAAAATATTTATCCATTTTGACTTAGAGGAGTGGAATCTTTGAAAGCAACACTAATCACAGTTAAGGAGGGACAAAAATCAGAAATTATAGCCAGAGAAGAGGGAAATACATATCCCAAATTGTAAAATAAAACTTAGCTATGAGAACTGGGTTGATTAAGTCAGCAATTAGAGCAATAAGCAGGCCACAATTAAAATTTTTTGACCAATTCTGTTTATAATGAAAAAGTACCTTGAGCTGATTTTTACATGGTGCCAGCTACATAAATTGGATATGTAATTGTTAGATTAAGTGAAGTATATGAACTTGGTCATTGAAGGATCATAAAGGACAATGTGAATGAAATATAAAGGTTTAATTGTAAAATTGAATTACTTTATAAATGTTAGTTACTTATTGATATTATTAATTTGTTTGTTTTTGGTAACACTAATAAAAAGGGTCATGAGTATTTTCCCAGATACTTACTTCTATTTATACATTTAGAATCCATTTATACATTTTGAATCTGTTCATTTAAAAGAAAGGTCGAGCAAGAGAAATTTTACAGAATGTAGGATACTTGCTTTGCATGCAGACAACTTGTGTTGGATCCCCAGCACCCCATATGGTCCCTCAACCTTGCCAGGAGTTATCCCTGAGTGCAGAGCCAGGATTAAGTCCTGAGCACTTCAGGGTATGGCCTGAAAACCCAAAATAAAAAGAAAAAAATTTTAAACACACTTCAATTCATTAAGTGTCATAGAAGTGTTGTGAAAATTCTGGTCAAGTGTATTATTCCTACCAGTTCAGGATAAGTAAAAGACATACAGGCATCTTTATGGACTTTTCAGGTCTGCTGCTCTCTCTGAGTTCAGCCTTAACTGTCATTCTTACCTTGGTCAGGAGAGCCTTGATAAGAGCAAACTAGACGATAAACAAGCTAAGGTCTACTTTAGGAGTTACTATTGTTTGGGTGATTTTGACAGGAAAGGTAAGAAACAGTTGGATACTAATTTCACTTATCCAGAGTTCTTGATTAGATTTTATCAGTATGTGAATGTAATAGTAACACTTGTTCTTTCCATTTTGCCCTCCCAGGAGTTAAGAAAATATGTGATAAATAGGTCTCTAGGTATTCAAGACAGCTCTTTGTAACCTTTATTTTATTTTTTTCATTTTATTTTATTAAAGCACTGTGATTTATGAAGTTGTTCATAGTTGGGTTTTATACATACAGTGTTCTAGCACTGATCCTGCTGACAATGTCAACTTTCCTTCACCAGTGTCCCCAAGTTCCCTCTCCTAATCCCATACCTCAAGCCTGCCATCTTGAAAGACACCATTTTATGTTTAGTTGTTAAAGTTTGGGTCTCATGATTTTAGTGCTTTTTACTCTGTGGTTTGGACATTTAGCTCTGTCATTCCTTAATACCACTAATGTACCTGAATCCCCTTAGATTTTCATCTGACTCTTTTCTCTCCCCACCACTACCACTACCACTCATTTCTTTCCCTCCCCTCCTTATAATCTGGGGCCAGGGGTGATCTAGTCATCCCTCCCCTTCAACCATTGTATTTCCTTACCCAATTATTCTAAATACCACATATATCTGACATCATCCTGTGTTTATCTGTTTTCTGGCTTATTTCATTGAATACAATGTCTTCCAATTCCATCCACATTGCAGCAAATTGCACGATTTCATTATTCTTTACATTTGTGTAGTATTCCATTGTGTATATATCACATCTTCATGATCTTCTTATCTGTTGTTATCTGTTGTTGGGCAGCTAGGTTGATTCCAAATCTTGGCTATTTTACTGAGTGCTGCAATCAATAATGGTACATACATCCTTTTGAACAATTTTTATGTCCTGGGAATAGTTATGCAAGTGAAATTGCTGGGTCATACCAGCGGCAGTTCAATTTTAGGTTTACTAAGAATCTTCCATACTGCTTCCATATGGTTTGAACCAGAAAACATTCCACTCAGCAGTGAATGTGAGTTCCTTTCTCACCACATCTTTGCCAACCCAGATAGTTCCCAGCATTTTTGATATGTGCCATTCTCGCTTGTATGAGATGGTGTCTCATTGTTGTCTTGATTTGACCTCCCTAGTAATAAGTGATGATAAGCATTGTTCATGCACCTGTTGACCATCCTTTGGACTTCCTCAGAGAGGACCCCATTCATTTCCTAATTCTCCTATTTTGATGGATTTTTGGAATTTTTGGGTTCTTGATTTTTGTGACTCCTTCATATATTCTGGATATTAACCTTTATCTGTTGTATTTACTGCAAATATTTTCTCCCATTCAGTTAGCTGTCATTTATATTTATTTATTTATTTTTGCTTTTGGGGTCACACCCGGCAATACTCAGGAGTTACTCCTAGCTCTGCACTCAGGGATTACTCCTGATGGTGCTTGGGGGACCATATGGGATGCTGGGAATCAAACCCGTGTCAACCCCGTGCAAGGCAAACGCCCTACCCTCTGTGCTATTGCTCCAACCCCAGCTGTCTTTTATTTTTAGCCTGTGTTTCTTTTGCCATGCAGAAACTTTTTAATTTGATATGGTCCTATTTGTTTATTTTTTATTTGATCACCTTTGACAATGGTGTTGTATCATTGAAGACACTTTGAGGTCCAGATTTGGACATGCTGTCTATATTTTCCTTAGGGTATTTTATAGATTTTGGTCTGATCTCAAGGTCTTTGATTCAATTGAATTTTTTGTATGAGGTGTGAAATACTGATCCAGGTATGAAATACTGATTTTTTTACATGTGTTTATCTGGTGTTGCCAGCATCATTTATTGAAGAGACTGTCTTTACTCCATTTTATGCTCTCAGCTCCTTTGTCAAAAAATAGCTGGCAATTTATGTGGGACATTGTCCTTGAATATTATATTCTGACCCATTGGACAGTGAATCTTCCTTAGCCCAATACCATGCAGTTTTGATCACTATAGCTCTATAGTATAGTTTCAAGGTAAGTGATTTGATATCTTCCTGTTGCTTATTTTTCAGTGTTTTTGACTATTCAGATCTATAATTTTGTTTTATTGGGCTTTTTTTTTTGCCACACATGGCTGTGTTCAGTGATTATCCTGGTTCTGTCCTCAGGGATCTCTTGAGTGCTCCAGGGATCATATGAGATGCTAGGTATTGAATCATGGTCAGCCATGTGCAAAGCAAGTGCCATATCTGCTGTACTATTGCTCTGGCCCTTACTTCAGATCTTTTCAAACTGACAAAAAGGACTTCACAGTAACAACCCACTTGGTGTTTAATAATCTATGGTAAAAACAACAAAAATAGTTGAAGAAGGATCAGTTAACTTGAGAACGCTGATTAAATAATAATCAAAAGAACTCATTCAAATAGAAAAAAAAAGGACCTAAAGAATACAATAGCACATCTGTAGAATGTATTAAGCTAAACTCCAATCAGTGACCTCAAAGACAAGATACACAACACCTGCAATAAAAAGGTAATAGAAAAGAAACAAGGGAAAGTAATGGATTTGATTAGGCCAAGTAGAATCAATCACAGAGCTTCTATTTGAATGAGTTCATGTATTTCAGTGTTTCCTTAAACATTTTTAAAAGTGTTTTAGGGGCTAGAGACATAGTATAGAAGATAAGATGCTTGCCTTGAATGCAGCTGACCTAGGTTCAAACCCTGGAACCACATAACCACATATAGTTGTTTGAGTACCATTAAGCCAGGAATGATCCTCAAGCATCACTGTGGCCCAACCATCCCCGCAGAGGTGTTTTAAATAAGTCATTTTGGATCACCTTATAGAACACAGGATAAGGGAGAAATCTTAATTTCTGTTCTGTAGGTTAAAAATCATTGTCTTTCTCCTCTTCAGATTTATAACTAGTTTTTTTAAATTGCTTTTATTGTTTTGTTTTGTTTGTTTTTGGACCATACGCAGTGGTGCTTAGGGCTCTCTCCTGACTCTGCACTAAGAGATCTCTCCTGGCAGGGCTTTTGTGACCATTTGTGTCTCAAGGATTAAACCTGGGTCAATCACATGCAAGACAAAGGCCCTACCCACTGTACTATCTCTTTGGCCTTAATTGCTTTCTTAATTATTTTGGAAAGCTTAAATTTTATAGACAACAGAAAGTAAACACATATGCTAAATTGATAGTTATGATTAAGTTTTGTAGTCTCTTTTGTGTGCGTATGCATTATGGGATTTCATCTTTTTCCAGGTTTATTTGAGATGTTGATGCATAACATCTATGATTCTAAGTTTATAATATGGTGATTTGACACGCTTATATTGTACAATTGCCAGAGCCTGGCAAGCTATCCGTGGTCTATGCCAAATAGACCAAATTGATATGCCAAATCCAGTAATAAATGGATCTCATTTCCCTAACCCTGAATATGCAGAGTCGAGAAGGATATGGAAGGAGAGGCTGATAAAACACCAAGGCAGACATAGGCTACCAAAACGCAGAAAAACAAAAATGATTGTCTGTACTTTTAATGCTCGTACCCTGGCATCTGCTGCATCCATTGAAGACCTTATGGTACAAGCACGAAAGATCAAGTACGACATCATTGGTCTGACCGAAACGAGAAGACATCAATTCCATCATGCTGTTTTCGACACTGGAGAAGAACTGTTCCTTGGAACATGTGATAAAAGAGGCGTCGGTGGTGTTGGTATCCTTGTCAACACAAACTTAGTCACGAGCATTGATTCATTTGAATGCCTAACAACCCGAATCGGACGATTACACTTGAATAAATGTGGCTCACTACCGGCAGTTTCTATCTTTGTTGTCTATGCACCAACAT